TCTCGCAAGAATGGTGGTTGCCCAGCCACCACCCACTCCGGGATTGTTTTCTAAGATTAAGTATATTAACCACTACACAATAAAGATAGCTGTTAGTAAGGAACAAAAGAATAACAGCTTGCGCATGAACTCAGTCAACGAAGGTCTAACCTTATTGGTCACGGTTCTCGCAAATTTGACAATGTTCGTCGTGCCATTCTCTTTACAAACGATGTTGGTATATGCTTTCAAGACTTCGATTCCTACTTGAGTCTTGGAGAGGTAGGGTTTATCCAGATTCAAGAAATGGGCAAACCTCGGCTGTTTAGCTCGGGCATCGAAGCGAGCGCCTTTGTGCTTCTGCGAGACACCGTGAATGGAGTAAGTGATAAATAGAGCAAGCGACCGAAAAATTTCCGCCGACATGCATGACGTTACGAGGGAACTAAGTGAAGGAATAAAAAGTTTGATAGATTCTGCAGTAAAGTTCTCCCCTTTTATTCCATCCAGGAGTTTCTTGACAAGACCTAGAAAAGTTAATGTCAGCGTCATAGATAGGGAAATGCACAGGAGTGCGATAGTTCTTCTTACGCATTCGAGAAAGACGCTTGGTATTGAATTGATGATTATTGGACTCGGAGCAGAACGTGACAAATTGAGAATAATATATCTCAAGCAAAGGCAGATCTGCTAGTCTCCAGATGTCCAAATCAACGAGAAGGACCCGGTAAGCTAGTGGGTTAGTAATTATAGACTTCTTCGGGTCCTGGAAGTCATAGCCAACAAATTTTAGTATAAGGAGGAGAATCTCCATGGCTAATCCATTGTGGTGCTCAGGGGTTGAAAAAAGAGCGGTAGGCTTCGAAATGGCATTCTGAATGTGAGATGATAGACCGAGTTTCTCGCGAAGAAGAACAGCGAGTATACTGTAAGCATTCTCCCGCTCCATCGCCTCACTATTTCTCCAGTTATCTTGGACAGCTTCGAACAGAGATTCGACAGCTATACAAATACTATCGGGCGTGGATGCTGCTTCGATCAAACTGAGATGTGGCGCAGCACATCCACCAATCCGCCAGCTAGCATCATCGAGCGACTGTGGTACGATCACAACAGGGTCCCCAGTCAAAGTTGCAACACCATGTGCTTGGGTTAACGCATCATTTATTGCAGGAACGGAACCGTTGATAGCAACAGCATTTCCACCAGCCTTAGTGAGACGATTCAAATTTCTGGCGGCCTGTTTTGACAGTGACTTAACGAGCTGTGATTCATCAACATTATTTCTATCATCATCATCGAGGATTGTCATTGGGGATATATTCAGCAGGACAGAATTTTCTGGAATCAGGCTGCTGGCTTTTTGACGAATAACGGCAACGATATCCGACTGCTCTTTCTTACCAGGATGGAAACTCTCATTGCGTAAATTCAACTGAGCGGATGCTTTGTAAGTCTGAAATGATCCTAAACAATCCTGGAAATTGCCATGGTATCGAGGGCCCAAATGGTAGAAAACCGCTATAATATCATCTGTAAATGCCTCATCGAATAAGATAGCAGAAGCCAAGGACCATCGGGACGTTGACACCCCTTTTCCAAGCCGAGTTGCCAACTCCTCCGGAGTCCCTAAGAAGGCTTGGACGCGAGGCACGCGGTGAGGGGTAGTAGAAGCTGGAATAGATGGGTACTCGGGTTTTAACTGCTCTACGAACTCCCCGTTGACAAATAATGTTGCCCGTGACGATGATATGGGTCGAGGTCTTTTATGGACAATGCATATATGGTACCATTTACCAGGCTCAAATACCGTTGATTTGAAACGAACACTCGGGCGAGCACCCTAAATGTACGTCTGGAGGATAAAATTATGAGTATCCTTTCAATAGAA